AAAAAATCAAGATGTTTAAAAATATGATACATAGACCAAAAACAAAAGTTAATCCAATATATCTTCTGCTCCCCTATTTGTGTGTGTGTGTGTGTATATATGTGTGTATACATATATATATATATATATATATATATATATATATATATATATATATATATATATTTGTGTTTTCTTCAGGTATGTTTCTGGATAAATGGAAAATTTGTAAAATTGTTCCGATATTCAAATCTAGTGAGTAATTACCACCCTAGTGCAATAATAAATTCCATTCCCAAACTCTTTGAAGAAGAAAAAAACTGGTCAAAACTTGCCTCCTCACCATTTCAAGTTTTAAATATAGAATGAACTAATATTGTTACATTTTATGTAGTTGCTAACAGAATTGATATGTATTGTTCTATTATTATTTTTATTATTATTATTATTATTATTATTATTATTATTAATGTAATTATTATTATTATTAATGTAATTATTATTATAATAAGTAGTAGCATTAAAATAACATCTTTAAATGTTAAATTATCTGCTATTAAAAATAATTATCTACTGTATAATATCCTAATCTATCTGTAACAAGTATTGCAGTATACTTTCTAAGCCAATGACCCCCATCTCGATCAGGTTTTGTTCAGTTTCCCTGGTCCCTTGAGCATATGCTGAGATGGCCCCTTGTTTGCTCCTGAACAGTAATGTAACTCAGCTCTCTCCACCCAAGGCATCATATTGACTCGTCATACACGATTGTAATTGCACATGTGACTCAATAAATATTATTATTATTATTATTATTATTATTATTAGAGAAAATAGTATATGACATCTTGATCTTCAAGTTTAGACGTGTTTTCGCATCTGAGCAATATGGTTTCTTATCTGTAATGTCTACTCTAATAAACCTCACAAACTCACCTCAAAAACTTTAATCACTTCTTATTAAACTCCTTGACAAACGTAACGAAATCGATGTTATTGACATTGACTTTGCTACAGCTTTTGATAAGGGCAATCAAACAGTCTTACTTGACAAATTACGTAGTTGGGGAATTCCACATACAATTGTCAACTGCTTTAACTTTTACCTGACCGAAATAGTTCATATTATTTTCTATATTGGTGCTAGGTCTAAACCTTTTACAGCTACTTTTGGGGTCCCTCAAGGCTCACATCTCGGTCCTCTCAGGTTTAATATTTTTGTTAATGACATAGGTGACAATTTATACCAATGTGGCCTTAATCTTTGCAGATGACGCTAAATTCTTCATAGCTATTAATGAAATATCGGACGCTATACTTTTTCAAGACGATTTGGACAGAATCGTGCCAAAAAGTTGTATAATCCTAAATGCAACTGAAAGCAAATTGGTTCGGTTTTCTAATAAAAAAAATTGTGTTGTTTTACATTACCATTTTTTCTGATGCTGCTATCTCCTCTGTCGATTCAATATCAGATCTTGTGATACTTATTCCTGTAATGGTTCTTTCTCTTTGCATATCAACAAAATAGTAAACAAGGAATTCAAGATGCTTGGTTTCATTAACGTCCATGGACGTGGAAGGATTGCTAAAACTGCTTTGCTACATCTTTCTATACAAAACACTAGTTCGACCCATTTTGGAATATTCCTCCCCAGAATGGTCTCCTTATCTTCAAAAAGATGTAGCCAGTATCGAATCAGCGCATCACAGATTTCATGAGGCGTGTATCCTGTGTACTACAATCGATGTCATTTCGCGATCATGGCCATAGCCCTTTATTAGAGAAATTCAAATTGAATACCATACAGGACCGAAGGACTATTACTGATATGATATTTCTTTTAAAAATTGTCAATAGTATTGATGAGAGTAATCTAATTAACGCAATTACATTCAATATTCCTTCTCGACCCTTGTATGGATCTAATATTTTTCACCGGAACATGAATATTATACATCCATATAGTATAATATCGATTCATTGCACTAACTCCTGGGAGTAGGAAATAATTTGGAATGAAAATAGATTATTTTGGCTTCCCAGCCTGAACATTGAAGTTCAAATTCCATATAAATGATGGCTAATGCCTTTTTAATAGTTTTACTGTGAAAATTGTGCTATTCTCGTTTTTTGTACTAAGTATTATGTAATAACTTTCTTTTTCTTGTGTCTTACTGTTTTATTACTTATTTCTCATTTGGGTCTTAGTATTAACTTTTGGTGGATGGTTTGCACACGGGTTTCAGATATGGCACAATATTTGTGCTCGTTTTCATCATTACCCTTATTTTGGATGTGATGAGCTAATATAAATTAACATCATATATATTATCACAATTGAAAATATAAAATATTTTATCACCACGTGTTCCGAGTCAAACAAGCATAAAAGCGGAAATCATGTTGACACCTGCCTGGAAAATCCATCTTCTTAAACTCACGCTCCCAGAAAGATTCCCACAATTAGCGGTACCATATATAAACGAACACCCGAAAACACCGAGAGGTCAATATCACGAATAGTCTTGGGAACGACACCCTCAGCAGTCAGCAGCCTTGACGTAACTACGGCGAATCAGCCGCAGCAGCAGTATTATCCCCGCAAGTTTTTTTGAGTCCTCGCTTCGCTAGTTGCGAGAGGAGTGTAGAGTTGAGTTATTTTGACGAAAGGAATTTTGGCATCAAATTTTTTGCTCCTTTTTCGATGCAAAATAGTTTCTATTACACGGGAATGAACATTCTGGTTATCAGATTTTGTCTAAAACGTTGCTATTATTTATTCTTAATATCGTTCGTTGCTATTATTTATTCTTATGTAGCTTCACGATGCGCACGTTTTGTTGAACTCTTCTTTTGCTTGAAATGGTAAGAGTAGAGGTAAGTGCGAGTTGCTATTTTGTTGGCAGTGCAGAAAAATCATACTTTCAATTCGTGTACCTATGCAAATAAGTTTTCTATAACTCAGAAACGAAAATGACTTTTTCAAATATTGCTTATCTTGCGATTTTTAAAATTTATTTTTATTTATGTTAAACGTTTACTCATCTTTCAACTATTTAAACTTAAAATGACGGAAAGAGATTCTGGAACTCAAGAAAACGCGCGCAGATAATCTTTTACCCCTACGACACATAGTTTTTACTGTTCTTTTAACTGAATTAATCTAAATCTAAATTCAACTAATGTTGGCAAAGGACTCTCGCTCTCTCTCCCTCTCCCCCCTCTCTCTCCTCTTCACTCCTATACATTTCGTAGTTATGTGGTGGCGGCGGTGAATAAGTAAATTATTATCCTCATACTTCTTACAACTACTTCATGATTGTATTTACTTAATCTTAACCCCTTCCGGTCCCTCAAACCAATCTTCCAAGACAATCTCTCCTACGTGAATTTCGCTCAATAACAGCAATCGCATAGAAGGGGACTTCACAGAAGAGTCTCAGAAAAAAAAGATAAAATGAAAAACCAAAACATTAGCTGTATGTGAAAACTATCTTAATACTTGTTATCTCTCAGTTGCTATTTTTCTTTAACAATACAGATATGCAAGTTTCCACACAAAAGGTCCATGTCATTATTTTTGTTTAATAAAATGTCATTTCGGTCTTCAACATTCACCATTACTTTCTGAATAAGAAACAACACAGTTATTGCCCTAGTCATATTTCCTTCTGAAGAAGCAAACTGTGTGAACATGAACACTGAATTTGTTCGAGCCCAACACTACCATTTTATTTCACCTTCATTTTCATACAGTGAAATAATGCACGCACCAACAAGAACGTATTGTTATTCTAATCAACTAACTCGCTCCTAGTAGCCACAACAATGTTCACAACGTACGCACGTTTCCACTACAATGGCAGCCTTCATTTTTGTTCCCGAGACAGTAGCGCTCTTAGGAAATCCAATTTATTTCTATTCCAACATCTTTGGCCGAGGTTAGGCAACAATTCGTAAGATGTGATGGACTAGCGAGGCTGTGGGGGCGGGGGAGGGTAGGGTAGGATAGGATACGGTGGAGACACGCTATATGCAGAAATGCGCCATAAAATAATTATTTTCTTTCCCTCTCTAATTTATGATTTTTAATAAATAAATAAATAACAGAGCATCGCGTGGTTCTTCAGCTAGCGTAAAATAATTTTGAGAGCAAAGCAAAGTATTGCAATTTTCTGCGTTGTCTACTTTAATCAACCACTTCAGTACTTTTACTATGATGCCACAAGAAATGAATTAGTTGAATTGTATGCGTAGCAAATGCTATTGTGCAACGCAAAATATATTATTTTTCGTCTTGAAAACTTGATTTGTTGGTTCGTTGCTTAGCAACTTCCTGGCTTCTCAAGAAACATGGAAGGTAGCAAATATACATTTGTTTATGTAGAGAACAAAACATATAGTTTTTTTCTTGATAAGATAATTAAAGAATATCTCGCTAAATGGTACGTAAACGACGAATTATTCTTAAAGTTTCTCTTTGAAACTGCTCTTTAACTGTTCCGTATTTGAGAGCCACAAATCCACAATTGAATTACTTTGCTTTTGAGTAAGACAGAATGAAAACTAAATGAAGTTAAAAACATTGCATCTCACAATGTTTCTGATAGAAAATGTGGCTGTTTTACTCCTCAAAGCATCATTAAAATTAATTTTATTGAATGTCAGTATTAGAGATTTTTAATAACTTTACAATTCAAACTTCACACATTAATTGTTTGCAAAATTGAGTCAGGACATAACATAATGATTCTAAAATTTCTGAAAAAAGTTCACATATCTTTTATTGCAGGTCATTGAAAGGCAATCTCAAGATTAACACGTTTGCCTTCAATGAACCATTTCAATCTTACAAAATGAAGGAATTTGTGTATGCATTCTTCAGTGATCCTTCAGTTGTAAACACTCTCCTTTCAGGAAAAGATGCAGATGGTAAAATGAAATCATAGCTTATCAACTCAGAAATAAATTTTATTTTATACTTCTCTGAATAAATTGCTATATTATTATTTTGCAGGAGAGTCTTGTGGAGATATTGATTATGAACAATTATTGTGCTCAGTTACATCAATGAGATTTTTCGATCGATTGAAAGACCCCAACAATGGAATTACTATGTCTGATGGATACATAAGGAAGTGTTTGGATACAAAAATAGATGATTTTTTTGTATCAGACAAATTACGTAAGGTAAACATAATTGTATCATAAAGCACATATTATATTTTTCAAATTTTTTAATTACTATAATACTCTTTAGATGCTGTTGGATGATGACAGTGAAGAATATAACTTATATTCAGAAGATGAACGCAAACAATTTTTATTCAAACTTTTTGCTCACCTATGCCTTGGAGGACAATGGTGCCAATATGAAGATAATATAAATCCATATTTGCATGCTACTCGTGCTGTGTATAAGGATCTCGTAAGGTGCGAATGCTTGTAAATAATTTTTATAACTGATTTTATAAAATTTGTACACTAATTTTAATATGGTATTATTTACAGTGTTCAGAAAGAAGCAGAAACAGAAATGATTTTTGTTAGTTCTGTGGTACTCAAAGTTGAAGTAAAAGATCAGAATGGCATGCCAATTTTTCCTCCTAATCCAGACAATGTGCAAAATTTTGTATATTTAATTATTAATCCTCTCTCTAGACGTGTGATAGTTCTTAACAATACTTATGATGGAGCATTTTGCTTTTAAAGGTCTAATAGTATTCCAATAAAAAAAGTAGAGGATGGTACTAAAAATCAGAATCGATGACTGAAAGAGAATGTTTTAATTGAGGTTTTAGAAATTTCACCCGTAATAACTGAATTTTACATTAAATCCAGAATGTGTCTTCATTTTTAAAATAAGGTAACTCAGTATTTCATTGTAGAGGAGAGCAAGAAAGTAGTCAGGTAGAAGAACATGTCGGAAGAAGAGTTCATTAATAAAAACTATTTTTGACTCATGAATTTGAAAGCATCTTTCTCGTTAGACTCACACTGAATTTGTCACCAAAAAAAAACAAAAACTTCTGTTCTTGGAATATTATGTATCATGAATGAATTAGATTTTATAATGAACTGGTATTCCTATGGAACAAGAACTTTTCAATGTCGCTTCACTAGGCTTTACATTTGGTGGTACATTTAGGCACACATTTTGTTGAACCCTCTTTTTGTTACTTGTAATGAAGAAGTGGGTTGCTATTTTATTAGCAAAACTATACAATCAAATCAACAATTTGTGTACCGATCCACATACGTTTTCTATTACTCATGAGAGAAAATTTATAGTTTTTCAAATGTTGATAATCTCTTTTTTAGGTTCATTTAATTATTTTTAGTAAAAGGGTAAGAAAAAGATTAAGGAGCTCAAGAAAACATGGATAGATTGTACTTCCCCCCATATGTGACATAATGTTTCTACTGTTTTTTGACAAAAAAAAATAAATAAATAAGAATGAATTTAATATTTCACATACTGTAATTATTATTAGTGAATATCAGTGTTTGACTTGGAAATTGTTAGAAATCAAAGCATTCTTAAAAAAACACCATATGTAACACTATGAAAAATGCGTAATAAATTCTCCATTAAAACCATGATCAAACATATTTAATAAAAGCCAATTTTGAATTTCCTTCATATTTCCTTATTCCATTATAAATGTAAGTTAAATATTCTTGATTATGTGTTAAATAAAAATGGTAGGTGAAAAGGTAAAACAGTAGTATGTGAAAAAAGTAGCCCTAAAAATATTTGTGACAAGGAATTAACATAATGTGCAATTCACAACAGATGAAGATACTAAAATCTGTATACTACTACCATAAATACCATCATGTACAATATTTCGTCCCAAGCAGAAAATTATCAAAACTATTTTAAGGATCTCTAAACAACAACTTTTACCTCACAATATTTTTTACCATTCAGTTTTTTTTCTTTTAAAAACATTTTTTTTCTTTTTGACATCAATATTTTCGTTTTTTTTATTATTGTTATAAATATACTACTTACTTCTTAGTATATAGAGATTTTTGTAATGACTTGGCAAAATACAGCGACTCTTTAATAGAGAAACTAGAATTGGGAGCACATGATTCGAAAAAAGGGGATATTTCTTATTCCTATGAAGTAAATTACAACTCGGCGAAAGTTTACATGAAGACAACATTTACTCAAAAATTGCTTCAAGTTTTTGTTGTCTTCGGATAGACCAAATTATGCCTAAAAAATGGCGCATGTCGCATTTTCATTGATCTACATTTTCGAAAATTGCAAAAGTTCAAAATATTTTTGGAATCTTTCTACAATTACAATATTTAGGATAATTTTTTAACTTTCTTGCGAACTCCTGACGCAGTATGGAGAATATATTGTACTACTACGGGGGAAAACTGCGATTTTTTGTTAGAAAAATTCTTTATACTGTAAATACTGGTTATTGATACCAGAAAATCGATTGACGGCAAAAGTTTGTCTGCCTGTGGTCAACGCTAGCATCTAACCTGTTTTCGCCTAAACCGACGATTTTCTCCAAAATGTATATTCCTTGATCGATTTGAACGAACTCTAGCTCCTGCGAGTTTAAAAGAGATATTTTGGTTGTGGTTGTACTTTACATGAAGTCTCAAAATAAAAAAAATAAAAAATTGCTCTAGTTTTTTTTAATTCAACTTTCTCCTCGGATAATGCAAAAAACTATATAAAATACTACTCCTGTACTACTCCTGTCCTCAAATAATAAATTGTGGAGTCCCACAAGGATCCATCCTTGGGCCAATACTATTCCTTATATACATAAATGACATGCCTTTGGCTTTAAGGAACAACAAAATAATTTTGTTTGCAGATGACACAAACATCATCATAAAAGCAAAAACACAACAATCATTAGAAAAATAAACTCACAAAACTTTGCAAGCACAAGTAAAATGGTTTCAAGACAAAAACAAAATCATAAACACCAGCAAGACAGTCTCTCTAAATTTCATGAATCCTCGATCTAAAGACAAACTCTCACAGCATTTGCTCATAAACAATAACCCTGTAACGATATCTCATGAAACTACCTTCCTTGGACCTAGAATGGAACCTAGAATGGAATCAAGAAAACCTAAAATGGAACACTCACATCTCAAATCTTAACAAGAAGCTCAGCAAATCTTGCTATGCCCTATACACCCTCAGGTAACGCTCCAACATTGAGACACTTCGAACAATGTATTTTGCAAATGTGCACTCACACCTAAAATATGGAATAATATTCTGGGGAAATGCCCCTGAAAGCACTCGCACATTTATTATCCAAAAAAGAATACTGCGAACAATGACCAGCACTCATAAGCTGGAGTCTTGCAAACCCTTGTTTAATCAACTAAGGATTCTTCCTCTACCATGCATGTACATATTTGAGATAGTGGTCTTCACAAAGAAAATTCTCATGGAAAACAAAGACACTTTTACTTTAAATTCTGATGTACATAACTACAACACCCGTCAAGAGGATAACCTACACGTTCCCCACTCTGAAACTACACTTTATCAAAAAAGTACCCTAATAGAGGCATTACACTTTACAACAAACTAGGCAATGATATCAAAGACATAAACACAATTCATACATTTAAAAGTAAATTGAAAGCTTTCCTGCTTGTTCTACAACATGTTCTACAGTGTAAAGGAATTTTCAAATTACAACATTTCCCTTAAAAAATATAAATAAATATGAATTTCTTATTCCATTAGACTTTTTGTTTCATGTGAACTGTTTCAAGCTGAAGCAAAGAAAAAAGAACTGCATATCACATCCTGTGAAATAGAAGGAGAATAGAAGAAGAAAAAAACTGGTCAAAACTTGCCTCCTCACCATTTCAAGTTATAAATATAGAATGTACTACTATTGTTAAATTTGATGTAGTTGCAAACATAATTGATATGTATTACTAATGTAATTATTATTAATATAATTATTATAAGTGGTAGCATTAAAATATCATATTCAAATGTTAATTATTAGCAGATAATTTATCTACTGTATAATATCTTAATCGAACTGTAACAAGTATTGTATTTCTAGGCCAATAACCCCAACTCGATCAGGTTTTGTTCAGTTTCCCTGGTCCTTTGAGCAAATGCTGAGATGGCAAGATACAATATTGAGGGTTTTTTTAGTAAAATAAAATGTTCTATAAAATGAGTTCTTAAAAAAATTATGTAAATTTTCGATAAAAAGAACTGATGCTACTTCTTCAACTTCATTATAGAAGATGATAGTTTTAAATTAAATTTGTCCTTTGAAATGAGATTTTTAAATTTTAAATTTGCCTTCTTGAGGAAAGTCTGCTTCTTTAGCAAAATCCCTAAACATTTTGCATTTTTGGTGTGCTTTGTTCATCTATCAAAACCTATGCACTTTATAAAAAGACCATTACACAAAATTACAGTTAAAATTTTCTACAAAATACATATTTTAACATTTCAAACAACATGGCGGTTTTTCGTCTTTGTTGTTATAGTGATATTGTATGTAGTTTCTTTTGTGTTTGACTAAAATATAACTACTTTTTTCAAGTTTCCTTGACATTTAAGGCCTTAAAGTAGTTAATCACAGAGAAGATGTTCCAATTGAGGCTTCCAGAATATCAGAGAAAAAAATTCATTTTTTAAAATAGAAAATTTCAAGAGAAAAAAAACTGAAACAATTTTTGAGAAAACTCTGTTTGAGCATATTTGACAATGCGCTTCCTTGATAGACAAAACCTTAAATAATCTTATTGATACTAAAAAATTTAGATAATCTTTTTCAAAACATGGTGTGGCTCTGTCTAGTTTCAAGAGAAACTGTGAAAAATAAGAAAATACATAAGCAATAAAAAAATGCTGTAATGCATTTTTTCTTCTTCTTTTCATTTTTGCTCAAATAATTCCAAAAAGTTTTGAGTATCAGAGAGCTTTTGAGGTTTGATATCTCCTGCATGAAAAGTATTAATTGGTCCCTGCTTGGGACATAGTCGATCAATATCTAGTGCATACTTCATGAATTCCAGTCTTTGAAATACCTGAATCCAGGAAAATGAAAAAGAAAAATCTTCTCAAGAGAATTCTTACGATATATTCAGCCTGTATTGTGGAAGAGATCATCTTCTTTCACTTGCCTTTTCGTTGCCTCCCCATCCCGTAAGAGTTTTGAATGTTGCCCACTAAAGAAAACTGACAATTCGCACTACCACTGCATTAATACCTCCGTGAACGCATTAATTTCTATGTGAATACATACACAAGGTGTACACTAAAAGTTTACAGATTTTCTCAATTTGCTTGCTTCTTGAGTTCGTATACTAGTATTCGCTTTGTTCCCCACTGGGTGGCACCAAATCATGACACAACCCTGAACTACAAGTACTCCAGGCCCTTCAGTAATTAAAACTAGTGGAAAGTGTCTGATAAGTTTAACTCATTAAGTCCCAATGTTGTGCTAAAGCAATATCTAATAAATAAATTTTTTATATAAAATGATTCAATATAAATTTGTTCTATATTACTATCACAATAAGAAGAAATGCTATTTACAGCTTTTGCTGTTTTCATTCATATCCAAGAGTAAACTTGGTTTTGTTGAATTTTCAACCTTAGAGATAGCATAATGGATTGTGCTATTGACATTCAATTTTATTTTTAATTATTACAAAATACTTTTTATCTCATGTATATTATTTGACAAACTTTCTGGAACCTTCCTTTATCGTTTTAGAATATTTATTATGTTGATAAGTCCTTATATAGCTTATTACTGATAATTTACAATAATGTTGCAATTATACATTTGGATTAGTGAGTATATGGTCTGAACATGATAGAACAAACACAATTAGAATGCAATTATTGAGTAGACAAGTAACTACTGTTTCATATTTCCGTTCCTAATATATCTCATCTCTGAGATAGTGTCGTATTCTATATTGTTGCATCATTGTGTATACAGTGCTTCAAGAGTAATTATTTATCGTTTAAACAATTCTGCTTATTTCGGGAATGATAAATGAAAATAAAGGCCTCTATCAACTGCTGAACTTTCAGTATTGGAGGAAGATGTTGAACTTATGACTGCAAATGATTGATGCTATGTAAATTCCTCCTAATGTTGACGAAATGACAAATGAGGAAAATTTAGAAGCTCTTCTTACGGAAAAAGTAGAAGAAAAAAAATTGATTGACAATGCAATTGTCAACTCATGGAAAACATATTGCGAATGAAGAAAAGATATTACAACTATAATTTTGCTCATATTTAGCCATACAGGACTAATAAACTTAGCAATTGAAACATCTGAAATCATCAGTCAATCACGATGTAGAGCATATGATTAAAAGGGAGAAACCAAATCCGGAAGGAGTGGATATTGTGCAAAAGCACTACAATTAACAAATTTAAAAAATGCAATGTTCACCTCCATTCAGACGGTTTCAGGTCGGCTCATCTCAAGATGAATTGATATATTCTATTGTCCCAAAGTTGCAACTACGCAATATTTTGTTGTACATTGACTATTAGTTTAAAAAAATTATAAATGAGCTTATTATCATTTCTAGTGTAATTTTTGAATAAATACATTACATTATTAAAAAAGAATTATTATTTCACTGCTTGGACCTTAATGGGTTAATGAGCCCCGTTGAGACATTTCAGTTTTCCGGCATTCTCCCTACATCAATACAATAATGCCAAGCACCATCAATGCTCTCAGTTATGTAACTTATAGCTACCCCTCACGGAAAACCAGGAAAAATGTTTTTCTTTGAATACTTTATTCAATTTATAAGATCACATTGTACATAAGAGTCAAAACAAGAGTTCTCTTTCACAAGTCTTGTAAGTACATTTTTTAAAACCAATTCTTTAATTGTTTCAATCAATTAATGATATACAAATGAAATTAATCTTACACCTAATAAGCACTAAAGGAAAAATATTGGAAACATATTCCAAATTGCACTGAAAAATGAACATTATAGACGTACTCTATAACTCTTTGACATAAAACTGGTCAAAATAAATATCTTAACATTTAATCCATTTAGAACACACATAACCTGCAACAAGCTATGTATCTATTTCAACAACGGTTTGGGTTCAACAACTGGTTACGCTGCAAAGCATATTTCACTTTCTAGGTAGATTCTTTAAGATGAGAAGACAAGTTAAAGAGAACTAGTACTGGAATGCTCATTCAAAAAAATGCAATGAAAAATAAAATGTATATGAAATAAGGTAGACAGAAGTAAACAATAAAAGCGTTCATTTTCATGCAAGATGCATTGTAATATTTGCTTTCAAAAGCAAGAAATAAAAAATTCATAATTTATTTTTTCCTTTAAGTTTCATGATATTTAGTAAAAGGAATGCCACAAAAGGAATGTTAAGAAAACATGGCAAGAAAAGTTATTTCAATAAACATAACAAATATACATTCCTTATGTAAAATTTAGAGATAAAATAATATCAATTCATTATTTTTTTAATATACAAGAAAGATCAATATCAGGTCAACGTGGACTGCAGAGAATAAAATTACACCATTCAAAGAACAATTAGAAATCTTACAAAAATACTTCTCAACTACAGAAATGGAAAGACATTTATGGTAGGCCATTGGTAGAATAACAAGTCACAACCACACATTTTTCATTCACAACATGTAACATGAACCAACCCCATCATAACAATAACAATTCCCTGTCAAACATAAAAAAAGTACATCTTGTTACAATTATGCAAAAGGATTTTAACAAATACTTCTTTCACAGTTTGTACCTGTGATAATTATATTGTCACCATGATTAAAAAAATTCATGTTCTCTACTTCAACAACCCACCAGGTCAGGAGGAAGACAATATGTAATAAATTAATTATTATACACTATATAATAGAAGGCAGTTCACAACTGTACATTCTACCTCTACAAACACATTAAATCCACAAAAACGACAAGATTACAATTTATTATGCGAATAAGAATAAAATATTCAGGGACGACATGTTCATCTTGTAAACTACATACAAGGTGAATGCTATACTTATATATACAAGTCGACGACAGAGCTCCACTTTGCAAAAATATTCTGCTAAAATGAAGAGTTTGTGAAAATAAATTCAACAATAGTTGAAACAAACAAAGAAAGAATACTAATACATATTGTCTAATCAACAATTAAACTTACATTTTACAGAAAATATTTTATATAACTTAGGATACATGTAGAAAATGAGTAAAATTTTCCCAGTATATTGCAAAGTTGAAAGAGTTGAACACAATTTTCTGAGTTTCAGATGATAAATCGAGACAAGCTGCATACAAGTTTTCAGAGCAGAGAGGTCAGAAAAAAATTACTTCTTCTTCTGTTGCTTGAGGTGCAGCCCCTGGTGAGGTAGGATGACCCCCTGAGTCAGAATTTTGGACTCTAAAACGATCCGGCAACTTGGGATAAGTGTTGGTGCGATCTGCTTTGTTTCTCTGAACAGAGGAGACTCTTCCCATACTATCTGATCCAGAAGGAGCTGTATTCTGCATCATTGCTGGACTACTACCAGTACGTGTGTGGCTTGGAGCAACATGTTCTTCTGTTTGAGGTGTATTTGAAGGTGGGCTAAAGCTACCGGAGCCAAGACGCATATATCCTCCACTTCCACCACCACTTCGTCGACTTTCCGTTGACTGACTTAGTTTGAAAGGCAAAATTTGCTGCACTCCACCTCCTGAATTGCTTCCACTACTGTTATGGACACTACTTGCATTGTTACTACTGGTACTCCCTGTATTGCTCATGGGGTTGCTTCCACTACTTTCACCCAGCTTTGTAGCCAACTTGAAAGGTAATTGCTGTTTGATCTTCACTCCTTGGGCCACTTTTTGTTGATTTGTGGCACTAATGAGATTCAATGGAAGAGATGATTTACTAGTAGTTCCTTTCCACTTCATCTCCCCCTTACGCCGAGAGTCAGAAAATGGAGGGGAAGAATTTTCCCCACCGGAGACACTAGTGCTTTGTTCTTCTGTGGGTCTCTGAGAATTAGGAGCGATATGGATTCCCTCACTAGGTAAAGCATTGGCTACAACAGGCATGTTGGGGCTAATGAGGATACCTTGACTGGTAAGCATTTCCATCTTACGGTACAATTGTTCCCGCTGTTGTACAACATCATTTTGCTCGGTTCGTACTTGCTCCTGAAAAAACAACAACAAAAAATATCAATCAACATGATGATAAAAATGCTTGGAATATATAAAATTCAAAGGGAAGGGCATAAAAGACCATAAAATTTAAATGAAAGGTTAAACTAAGTAGTAATAATCAAAACATTAAAAATAAAGATTCTCAGAGAATTCAAATGAACACAAACATACATTAGAAATATACACATTTTTGTGATTATGTTCATGATATAAGCACCATAACTTTTGTTGAATTCTTGGGCAGTGGATCAGTGAGAGACTTTATCTGATAATTTCTAAAGAAACATTGCACTAAGTGGGACAATTTCAAGTATTATAAACTTGAACAGAACAAGTGAAACAACAAAAATGAATATGATATGTTTTAAAGCATACAGTGGACATTGAGAGACCTTATAGCATTGGGTGAGGAATAAAAGAAGTACTGCCACTTTCAAGTGTAGACCAGTAAACAATTTATAATAATTTGTTTAATAAGCTGAACAACATTATACCTCATATTCTGCCTGGTTTAAATTTTTGGAACTGTTAAAACTGCAGCCAGGTCATCACAACCCTAACCAATTTGCAATGTGCAGTTGGCCTAGCTGTTTAACTCAGAGTTTAACTGAACTAGAGGATTCAGGTCTCTTTAAACATGAGGTGCAAGCAATACCACTTTGCATGGTTTTCTTATTTGATTGAAAGAAAAATGTCATCACAATTACAGCAATAAAATAACTCAATACTTTTTCTCAATAAATATTTGGGATTTATTAATATTAAAACAAATACTTGTTGTCTTCTGGTCATTTAGCCCATTAATGAAATAGTCACTTTAACCCTTTGACTGCTATGGGCCGGTTGACTGTGTAACGCATCTTGCATCATACTTCTTGATGCAGGTCCTGTTGTGAGTGCTTCAAGAGCTCGCTTGCACATAGATACCATTGCAAGACATCTCAGTTATCAGTAAGTCCTAGTGATAGTCGAAAGTGCATCTGCGCAAGCAAACTCGTCCAGAAGCTCCCAGGTAATTAAATTCTGTGTACAATCTCATCCAGAGGCTCCCAGCGACAACCTGACTGAGCATAATAAGAGATCCAGAGGCTACCATGCTCGGAAATATTTTGCTTAAATACTTGTCTAGAGCAGTCAAAAGGGTTAAATATAGCCCCTTATCTATCAAACCCAAAGATACAAAGTTAGAAGAGATGAATGGCTGGTAGAAAAGCAAATGGGTCATGCAAGAATTGCATGACCCATTTCCTTTTCCGCATGACCCATTTGCACAGCAACTCACCTGTAACCTCAGTAGTTCCTGCCTTTTTTCTTCTATCTCCTTTTCTTCAGAGTCTCGTTCACGCTGCCAGGCCTCTCGTTCTTGTGTCAGACGGTCTTGAAGATTGCGCAACTCTTCAAGCTGCTGATTATGTTTGTAGGTTGGTCTTTTCTCACGACCATCATCCTGAACCAGCTGTTGTCGACAGGCTGCTAACTGAGCCTGTAAACTGAATTGCAACAAGGTATTACAATCAATTTTATTTGAATACTGTATTTATCTGAACATAAGTTGACTATGAATATAAGATGAACCCTAATTTTGAAGAGGCCTCCTAAGAATTTTTAAAATTTTAACTAATTTTAACTGTTCAGTTAAAATTACAAATTGTCTAATTGACTAGAAAATTGTCTCGCTAATGAGATAATATTCATTGCCAGAGCTATCTCCAATTTCTTCTTTCTTAAAATGATTATAATCGTGATTTTTGTATCCACCCACTTCATCTTCACATGTATCATTGTTTCTCTCATTTTGGGACTCCTCCCATACTGTACATACTGTACCAAAGTTTTGGGCATTCTATTTGCTTTCTTGGCCTTTTATCTGAGGCCACATAAGAACATTCCTTTCTGTGTCACTAGATTTTCTTTATGCCCTGCTCTTGTTTGTGATCTCTGTACTTTATTATAGTTCTTTTTACTTTCTTTATAAGAAATTGATTTCGTTTAATGCTTGTATGATGAAGTTGTGAAATGAGAACTAGTACATCTCTGATCCTCCTTTTTGTGGGTAATGTGGGGGATAGTTCCAATTTTGGGAAACTTTTGCTTGGATAATATTTTTTTAAATTCTCCTTTCATGTGATTAAAAGTAGAATGCTTGCCAATATGGGTGTTTTTCATTTCCGTCCCCTGCACAATGCAGATTTGCACTTCTCAGACATTGAACCAAAGTTCATGCAGCCTCATTGATCAGCGCATCATGAAACAAAATCTCTGTGATTTTTATTTTATTTCATTTTGTTTCCCAATCATTGGTTTGAGATTCTCTCTTTACTGGTCCAATCAAAAATATTGGTCTGAATTGTGTATCAAATTTGCAGTGGATATCGAAAATACATCTACGAATAGGCATTACAGATAAGTGTGATATTTTAATCGCCTTTGCACATTATGGTTATGTTACCATTCATGAGGTTCCTAACATGGAAAGGCAACGTAACAACATAAATTCAGGTAGATATTGTACACACGTAATGAGACCATATAACACATTTAAATTCCCAAAATAAATTTTAATAGATTATTCTCACTAAATCATAATTAAAAATTAAGAAATCATTCATGAAACTTATATGCTTTAAAGATTGGAACAACAATACAACACCCACACAAATGCACATAAGATATTCTTGAAAGACTGGCATACAATTCAAAACATACGATAACTTGATGGCGCAACAAGACAAAATTATTGTAGTTTTTGTTTTACAGTAAACATTAACATCTGGGGCTAAAGAAAGTAGCACTTTTCACCATTAGGGATTAGCTCTGTTGGACACTGGTCCTGACCAAACTCAGGGACAAGTGAATCATAAAGCAGATTTTAGGCATCAAATAGCCTCTCCTTGCCCAAGATCATCCATGGATGGTAAAGAACCACATCCCGCCAAAATTAACAAATGCCATGAATGTCAAAAGAACATGTGTGTTCAAGAAGAGCAACTACAAACAAATATAAAAAGTGTTTATGGAATGTATGGCAGTAATGTATTGCTGAAAATAGTAACTTGGAACCATCATATCTGATCTTCAGACAAAAGTAAATTTTTAATAATGAAAGAAACTCAACATACACAAAATAAAGATAACAAATTACATGAAAGTACCTAAGTTGGATCATGTAGAGAAAGATAATCCAGAGAACTCTAATGAAGAAGAAAAATTAGTAGTTTGGGAAACAGACAAAATAATATTTTAACTTAGATTTAAGAATATTTGTAAATTGATGGTTGGTCATTTGTGTCATTTCAATCTTTGATGCCTTGGCATGATAAATAAATAAATAAAAACATATTAACATCCCTTTATAAGAAATTACTTTTGAAAGAAATAATGGAATATGGACATTAAGATTATAATTTATTAATCACTTTTTAGGACGCAGTAACACTACAGTTCCAAAGAAAAAGTATTGTAGCAAGTTATTCAAATAAGTTGACAGTTGCAAGTAAGATTTATAGAAAATTCTGTTGAATTTTTTTTGTAATTTACAATGTATTGGCCAACTTCTTAAACTCTTTGGAGCAAACACTACCATTGTGCAATTTGATGGCATTTCACTGTACTCAATTAGAAAGAGCTGTTTAAACCATACAAACTAAGACCTTGTAATAATTCTGAACAATACCTTTGAATTGTTGTCATTTGCTGGTGAATGATAGAGAGCAACTTGTAAAAATGATGTGACAGTTGAACAGCAGCTGCTTGTTGCTCTTGCCCTAATATTGCTAAAGCTGGTGAAGGTGCTTCATTAGCATTGTTACACAAGTTAGAAGGCAAAACAACAGGAGGAATTGTAGTCATTACTGCATTACGCCATGGAGCATGATCCTATGACAAAATATCAATCAAGATCAGCAGGTCACAAAATTCAATTAACATAAGCTGGGTAATAAATCAAGGTAACTGAGAATTTCATTGTAGATACACATCAAATCATTAAGAAATAAATTTTCTAAATGATAAAAATTTCAAATTTTTGCTCTTTCCCCCTGCTCTCAATTGTTATTTTTTAATTACTGTTCCTTTCATGCCTTCAAAATATAAAGAGAATTAAGAATACATTATTTATGCCAATTCAAATATTTATATTGGAATACAAATTTAAAAAATCAAAGTCTACATTTTATTTCAAGAACTTACAAAAGGTACTTTTGATAAATGTGACTCTTCCCGTTTGTCAGCATCTAATGTACCAGATGAAGAACTGCACGAATCTCGAGCTTTCTCTTGGTGATGTTTCTTCACAATACCTAAGAATTAAAAAAATATATTAGAATGGTTAGAAATACAAAATGTTTCACTTTACCTAGGAGAAATGATATAAAAATCACAAATATGTGTGATGTTATATACCAATGAGGCACTGCTTTCATATTTTAGCAAATAAAATATTTACAGCTGAAAATTAAGTACTTATTAAAACATTGGAAAATAAGGAAATAAATTATACTTGCACATGTGTATTAACATTTTTCATTAAAATTCAGAACTTCTTCCGACATAAACAAAAAATTTACAATTTCATTTCCTCTTCCCACATACCTATTTGAACATTTTAAGTGGTCTCTGATATGAATTTGTGAAATAATTTGTTCATTTGTTTTACAGTGAAATCAAGCCAAGCTTTCCTTTCTATTTCATTCATATCTTTTCTAAATCGAGATCATTCATTAATCTTTTAATTTGGGGGCCATCAAAAATACCTGCATTCAATTTTGCCTCACTGATGTGCGGAAATGTCTTCATTATATAAAGAAAAGTTGGATTCTGTAAATTCATTGCTGTGATGAGGTTTTCCATTAGCCTTGGTTTTATGTGGAGAGGTGGGAGCAAAATTTTTTGAGGGTCAATCAATGGGTTTGAAACAATACTGTTTCTACCGTGTGTGAAACTTTCTTGAGATGGTAATTCATGTTGTGTAAAATGTTTTAAGTCTGCCTGACTATCCAATGAACAAAGAAAGCTGCGATGTTTATTGTAACCTCCCAGCATTCCCAATAATAGTGAAATCAACTGAAAGAAAAAAAGAAAAACCAACAACCAACAACAACAACAAATTCATGTTAATTGATGAAGTAAATTTTTCTTTAATATGTACTATAAAACTCCAGTAATTAAAACAATCAGTCTTAAAAAACAAACAAAAAATATTACGTATTAGGATTAAAATCTAATAAAGACTACAAAAGTCAAAAACAGATTGGCTTGTAGAAAAAAAACTAGATCTGTTACGGACATACCGATTGCAGATTTGAAGCCAGTGCGAAAAACATACAAAAACAAACAAAACATTACAAACAAAAAATGACGCAGACCAGTGTAATCATTCGATCAAATAAAAAACAACTTTTTATGATAATAAATTACAATTTTTATAACACTAGTACATTGAGATAAAAACTGAAGTGAAGGGACCATGTAGAGCGATTTCAAGTTGTGTTCAGAAGACTGACTTGATAAAAATGAAAAAGTTAACATCACAATGCACAAATGGTAAGCAGAATTTGAGTTTCTGTTAATGATGTCATTAGAACCTTAATTCCTTTTATGTATTTCTTTTAATGTGAAAGAGTTCCTTTGAAAGTTATAATGAATCTTGGAAAAATATGCACTAGAAAGAGGAAACACCAACACAGAGCTGTAAAACAAAAGGCTTACTGCAGATGCCAGCAAGAAGGCATTTGCAGCAAAGTAAACATGAGCATTACAACCAGGAAAAAAATAAATTCAGCAATTTATCACGCTTGGTGATTGAAACAAAATTTAAAACAAATTTAAAACAATTCTTTTTTCACCATTAGCAATCTAACACAAATTCTCATAGGTTAAGATGAAAAACAAAAATTTCAAAATTTCCTTTACCTTTGGATAAAGGGGTAGTTAATGCATCTTTGTTTGCATTATCAAATCCACCAAATGTTTCTGCCCTCTTTGGCAATGTAGGTGAAATGTATGCTTCACTTTGATGTTCGCCAACAGAACTTACACTGCGAGAAAGATTTGTACCAGTGGCATACAATGAATTTGCCAGTTGATTTACATCCTGTAAAATTGAAATTTATTAACAAACAAAAATACTTGTGACTTTTATATCTTATATATTAAATGCTTCCCATTTCAACTCCAACAAAAAGTTCATCAAAGTAACTGAGCATTTGCATTGGCACAAAGTTCATTTTCAGAATAACATCAAAACTTTGATAATTCACAAAAAGTGACTGAGAAATGGATGGTCAGAACAGAAACCAAAATTTAAAGCCCTATGGTCTGCTCCATAGATAATCGCTTACCTGAACCGCAAATAAAACTTCTTGCCATATTGCAGAACTATCTGTTTCTTCAGTTACCAAGTTGCAGTAGTTGGGTGGGTTCAAGGCACTCTCAACTCCTGCAGCTGCAAGAAGTTTTTGTTGCAAAATCATTTTCTCCTCTAATATCTGTGCCTGCTCAACGTCTTTTTGTCGCATTGCCCCTGAAAATGAACTTCATTATTTTTGGTTTAACCAAATTAACAACTTAGTTTAACATTCACAAGATTTTGATTTATAAATAACATTCAAATATGAGATAACAATATAAATTAGTAAATTTCTTATAATTATGTTTTAACTAGACATGGGGTATTTAGATGCTTAAAATCCTCAATTCTAGTTACCTACAATATGGCAAAAATATACTATACAATTTCTTAAACGTGCAGTAAATGTTCACACAAAAATAAACTTTTTACAAACAATTTATTTTACTTTAAACTGTTTTATTAAAAACATTAGTCTTAAATATTGGAAGGAATATAAATGCTAAAACAGCAAAGACTTTCAATAATTGAAAGAATTATTTTATACACAAAAAATAATTTTTCCAATTTAAAATTTATGACTAGTACAATTTGCATGTTGTAATGGACAGCGTATAATTGAGTTGGCCATTTGCAAACTCTGCTAAACACATTTATAAAGGGAATATATTTTACGGCTATATTTCCAGAGATATAACAATTTGAACTAGTGGTTAACAACAGCACATTCTTTCTCACATTATTTGTAAATTTCCAATTTTTGAAATTTCAGAGAGTTAAATGAAAAGGAGACCTGCACCATTCTTTTAAGCATTACTTGTTCCATACATGGAAAAATTTTAAAGAAAAAATTTGAAGCATTTTTTGAGAAAATGAAGTCTAGGAGGAACTGTGCCAAGACAAGAGTATTCTACTGCATCAAACTGTGTAAGATGTCTTATGAGGAAGGCACAGTGAGAGAGCTTGGTTACATACACAGCTAATCTGGAGCATTATATACATGGGTACTAGACAATGAATTTTTAAGTAATGCAAAATTTGAGTAGAGATATGAAAGATGTTCCAAATATTCAAGTTATACACCAATTGTTATTGACCAATTCTTCTCATGTTATAAACATTTACGGACAGAACCTGGCCACAAATACCTAGAAGAATGCCTGCAAACAGAAAGGGATATTGATAAAATATACCATGAGGAATGGACGAAGCTTAAAAATCGAAAATAGAAAAGCTAGAGGAAGCAATGGTATTAAAGGAAAAATGATCAAATACACTTAAGAAAATTTTAAAAAACAGCTTTTACAGTTCATTTTACATTGGAGGAAAATGTGTGTACCCCAAGAGTGGAAAATCATGCTAATATTTTCTCTTGAAGAAAGGTGACTATTTATCCTGTGAAAATATTTAAAGGTTGCTTACAAAATACTGTATATTAAAAATAATTGCAAACAGAATATTCAATAATGCAGACCATTTTATTACAAAAATAAATGGATTTCAGAAGGGTAGATTGTGCTCTATTACTATCATTAAGAAACATAGAGAATTTAATAAAAGAACACACAAGTTCTTTCATAGGCTACTCCAAAAGCTTTTGGCATGGTAGGTAGAAACAGACTAATGTTTTGCATCATAAAGGTTGACCACAACATATGATTTCAGTCATTAGGAATAATGATTCTGAAATTTGTATCAAGGGACAAGAAAAGAAAAGAGGGAAATTATAAACCAACGAATCAGACAAGGGCCCAGTCTGTTCCTGATATTCTTTAATTTATATTTAAATATAGCACAAAATATGTGAATATGCAAAATAAAATCTTATAGCGATGGCATGGGACAAGGAAGAAGCCTAATGACTACTATTCGTGGATGTCAAATTTATAATATCAAATAATAAAAATAGAATATTTTCTACCGAAAATTATGGCCTTTGAAGGGATGAAACTGATAGATCTTAAAATAAGTTGTAAACAATCTTCCTCTAGAGGAAGTTTCAAGTATTAACTTCTTGGTATACAAGTCATAGAAGAGAAATGGGTGTACAAGAGAAAATTGAATAACTAGATCATATGAATGAAACAATCATAAGGACCCTGAAAAGAAAAAAAATAAACAAAGAAAAAGGAAAGAAGAGAGAAAAAGGAGAAAAAGGAAAGAAGAAAAGACGACGAATAAGAAAAGAAGAAGACGAAGAAGAAATTATATTTTATAAAGTATTAACCTTTAACATACAATGTAGGCTTTCACGGTCGGTTTCCATATCAAAATCAGATTCAAGCCCGGAAACAACTGATTTTGATATTAACCTTTAAGTTGTCAAGTGAGGTCAAGAGGACCTTCACTCTAAGAAAGTAAAAACCTGTTGTTTGCGTTTATGTGCTTACAATAGAATGCATTCTTTGTGATGGCCACTCCTGCAATCACTCATGTCCAGATACGTCTGTGATGTTATATGAAATTGAATTATTTGTGGCGCTTTTGAACAATACGAGGTTGGTAACAACAATACTTCACAAAAATCAGTATTACTGTTTACATTTTTTTATATATTGTAATAGATACAGAAATCAAGGTAATATATGATCGTAACTTACATAATATTGCATTTGAAAGAAATGAAATTCAATTATAAATTCTAGATTTACAACATTAACAATATTTATTCAAGCAAATTGAATAACAGAAAGAATAAACGGCAAAACAACAATAATTGTTCAAACATGAAAAATTGCATGAAACTACAGGAGGGTTAAGTATCCCAACATGTCTATCTGGAAGTGAGAATTGGACAAAGACCATGAAAGATAGCACAAGACTACAAAGTGCTGAAATGAGATTTCTGAGATCAGTAGCTTGTTTTAGACTTAGAGACAAGAAAAGGAATTAAAAAATTAATTAAGCATTTGGGGTATGTAGTCTTCAACAGAAAATTAGTGACCATCGAAATTCTTGGATTCAACACCTTAAAAGGACGCATAACATTTGATTGCCTAAGAAAATCTTGCAATATTACCCACAAGGAAGAGGAAAACCTCGTGACCTGAGAAAGACATAGGGTGATCAAATGGAAACATAGGTGAAACAGGAAATGCCTATATATCTAAGAGATAAAAAGAAAAAAAGAAATTTTATAAGGATATATGGTTAGCAGGTTTTGCATCTGCATTCATCTCAATTTCAGGTTTTGCAAATTGCCAAAACTTTCTATTGACAATTTCCATGTATTCTAGAAGGGTACTGAAATGAACAATTCCATAGTCATATAGAGTATGTTAAGAGCTTTCATTAGTACCAAAACTTAAATAAAAAGTCATTAGCAGGATTTGCAATTGTCTCAATTGTTTCTTCCTATTTTGCAGCAAATCGTAGCCAGGGAATTTTTCTCAACATAGATTTCAGCTTTGATCAAGAAATGCTTTTGAGTTTTTTGTCCTCAGCTTCAATTATAAAAAACAGGAACTTTTTTTTACTGGATGAATTTTTTAGACACTACACACTTGATATCCAAAAGTCATAAAATTAATTCTTGACTATATTTGTGTGCCTACTTCCAAGAGAATAAAGTAAGCATCTACCTAAAAATTCAAATTATAGTTGCAACAAATGCCAATTAGTTTAATACAGAAATGACAATCAAATTTATCTGAACCTGTTACTGCACTACAGTAACTACACAAATTCATTGAAATACCATGAGGAATAATTAATCAACTTGTAAATATTGTTCCTGTTAGATTCTTTGAAAACTTAATTAAAAATTTTAAGAAAATCAAAAACATAATTGAATACTGAATTCAACCAACAAAAAAGAGAAAAAATTACTTAACATTCTTTACAATATGTATTACAGCAGTTATTAAAACTGAAGAGTTACAGTTGATATTCAAATGAAATTTAAAGAAGCAATTTCCTTATTGAAGCATTAAGATCTTGCTAAAATACAGTTTTGCAATAAATTTTTAAATTCTTACTAAAGCAATCAGATTTCTTTCTAGCTTAGTAGTTTATGGCTTTTGTTTATTGACCAGGTATGCCACAAAGTGAATTTTCAAAGTAGAAAGTAGAAATACAAAATCTTGAAGCGAATCTTTATACTACCTCCAACTATGAGTCAAGAGTTAAGTCAAACATGACTGGCCTCTACAAACTTTTTCATTATGAAAAAAATGTTTTTTTCATGTTACTCAAATCATTGCTTGTAATTTTCGGAGATAAATGTTTAATAAGACAATAAGGAAAAGATCAATACTCAATAACAAAAGGGACGCAAAGACAACCCATTTCTTAAAAAAGTCATCTGACGCCTTAATGTATTGTCAGTTACACACATTTTTACATATATATTTACTGTGAAAATAAATGAATCTTCTATAAAATAACTATTAAAGAAAAAATGCAGAAAAGATTAAGAAACGAGACAGACTAAAATCAAAACATTTGACTCGACAAAAGAATAGACTTATCAACATAAATTTTTCAGAACAAATGAACAAGCATATTCTACTAGAACAGAAGAAGTATTGCAGCAAACTTTAACTTTCTACTTGAAAGCGAACTCTTATAGTTATATAGTTACAGTTACATTTTAGAACTTTCATTCCACTTGACGTTTTCTAAATGACAAAATAAATAAATATGCTAGTGGCCCACCAAAGGAACATACTACTTTCCCATATTATTGGTAACAATTAAGTAATATTATTTTTTTGCATGTTCTATCCTATGAATACTTCAGCCGTGACTAAAAAAATACAATGCAAATGATGCAACTAAAAACTGCACAAAAACTACTAAAAAAGACATGAAAAGCTTTGTGCAAAAAGTGTATTTAAAATGATTTAAAGATAAACACTGGAAAATACATTGCATTAAAAAAGAAATGCCTAGCTCTAATATAGGAATGGGGATAGGTAGAGGTAGTTCAATAAAGATAGGACAGGAAAATTGTACTTATTCCTTATTAAGTGAACATAATGGAGAAACCTCTATTCAAGCAATTTCAGAGAAAATATAGTTTTTCGTATTTTTCTTTATGTGCAAAATTATGCAAAGACTTTTTGAAATATCTAATATCGAGAAACATATTTCATTAAGGATAAAAATTTCTCTCTGTAATAGTTGTCATAGGAGGACCAAAAAGGTTTTTTCAGCAGTTTTAAAAAATTCAGGTTTTATTGAAAATCAGATTATACCATATTGTAAGTGTACATTGCTCTATTCAGGCTTAAAAATTTGTAGACATTTCTGAGAAAATTTAAAAAGTCCCCCCCCTCCCTCCATCACTACTGCAACTTGGAGCTCAGAGTCTAATTGAAACTGCAATTACAGTATTTTCAGCAATTTGAGGATTTAATTTGACAAATTACAGGAATTTAATTATGATACTAACAATAGCAAAATTTTTAAATGTATTGTGTAAGAACACTGCCAAAGAGTGAATCCTAAGGAAATATTCTCTGCATTTTGCACTAAACAAGCCTTCACTGATTACTAATTCATTTGTAATATTATTTGTGATAATATTTCAACAACAATACATTATAAATGTAGAAAATACATTTGTCTTAAAATAAAATCTATTGGTTTTAGTTCATTACTTTATAAAATACCCACAAACTATGATGAAAATATTTTAAGTCCCAAACAAGGCCAAAAAATAATGAAACCTGAATAATGAAATCAATGCTGCTATAAGCCATATAAAACCATCTGCTACATTAATGAAAAACAATTAAAACATGTTTAATTTTGTTTTTTGATTGAAACATAAATGTGGGAACAACGCAACATGTAATAATTCTATATACATAAAACTTTTTTTTGTAAAGTACAGTTATTTGTCAACATTTTTACAATACATATTTGCTAATAATTTAGGGAATATAGGGTCTTTATATAATCCTAAGGAAGTGGGGTGAGATGAGGTGGTGGTTACAGAAGGAGCTCAATACATTGAGCGAGTTCTACCTACTAATGGAGTCCAACTAACTTAACTACGAAAAGGATCCCACTTTCTGTTTGTGCTCCCCTACATTTTTATTTACAGCCCCAGGCCCCAGATGGCCCTATGCAGCTACTAAAAGTCCAATAGATAAGAGTTTCCAAAATTTGCTGTAGCGCCCTAAATCTTGGGTTGCTCTAGAATTTAAAAAAGAAAAATTGTTTAAATTACTTTTCAACCCTATTAATGTTTTATAATAAAAAAATCATCCCAACTGAACTTTAAAAGTCTAAAATATTAGAAATAATAAAACTAATTCACAAATTCTACACCATGACTGAAATGCAAATTCTGCGGTCATGAGTCCAACTTTCAATGAGAGAAGGAAGGAAATTATTTCAATGCCCAAAAAATATTAGTTTTAAAACCAATACTAAATCAACATTACAAAAGCCAAGGCTGAACATTTAATTACCTATATTAAGAACGCATTACAAAGATCATGCATGGAAAGACACGCTAACAAACTACACAAGTGGCATTGCTAGGCAGGTGGCATTTCTAAGAAATTACCTTCAAGTCCTAACGAGCTGCTTTCTGTATTTATTAAGGACAAAAACAAGAAGGCATTATGTAAAGCAATGGAACTCACACAAGTGCTCATCTCACTAATGAAAGTGAAGATCTACAAGAATATTGAACAGTTAATAGAAATAAGTGCAGTTAGCAAATACTGTATACTTTTAATAAAGATTGAGTGCTGGGAACAATTTTCTCACTTTTTAAAAATAATTTATAACAATTATTATTCATACAGTGTGGAGGAAAAGTCTTGCAAACTTGCTAGTCATGCAATGAAGTAATTTTCAGTTTATAAATTAAATTTCTATTTTAGAAAGTGCCATTGTGCAACAAGTATTTTGAAATTGAATACTTTGAGAACATGAATCTTTTAACATTGTGACCACATGTGACACATGCATCAACATTACTTGAAGAGCAGTTAACTTCAATAAAAATTACCATTCACAGATTAGCAATGCGATCTCATTCTACCAACACCATATAAATAAAGAACAAAATTCCTTATTTTGTTTGCAAATAACAATCACTGTATTACACCCAGCTCCATGCAACAATTAAGTGTGAAAATGTCAGATGATCTTTAAAAAGAAAAAGTGCTATTATTCACACTTTTTGAAGAGTGGTTTCATAACAATGATTTGATTGAGCACTGTTTATACTCATCAATTGCTGTGAATGTATTGATTAACATTATTCATCCACTTTTATCATTTGTCTTCCGTATCTTTCTTTTATCGTAATAGTTGCTCTCAAATATACAGTAGTACCTGGTGCTGCATTACTAGCAACTGAAGAGCAGTACACCAAAACACACAGGATAAATAGTTTTACAATTCCATTTAACTTTTTTTCATTTTTACCCCACCTTAACAATCTATAAGGAAACTGTTCCTTTTCAATAAAAAAATGTATGTTTATTTTATGAAAGGAGGATTTTAATACACATCAAGAACAGTGGTATAAAAAAAGGAATAATCAGCATTACTAAACTATATATATGAAGAGGAAAAGGAAACTGTAGGGCACATCACATTTTAAGAAGGAGCTAGTGAGTTTTCACTTTATCATTTTACACAACATTTTTTAAAGACATTTTAAAATGAGTATACAATAATGAAAGAAACTTACCAACGATTTGCTTTATTTGCATTTGCTTTGCATCAAGAAGTTTCTGTCTTTCCTCTACACTTAAAACAATGTCTTCATCATCCTCTTGACAACTCTGAACAGCTGATCTGAAATGACAAATTTGCAGTAAAGAAAATCAATTTTAAAAGATGGAGATTGCTTCTGCTAAAATAGTCATTTTGTGTTTAAGTTTACACACTGAGGCTTACTGATGCAACCAGACGATGGCTCTTTTAGTGAAATCTTATTACTTTAAACTTCTTAATTGTAATAAACTTACCACAAATATGGATAAAATGATGGTGTGACATCTTTAAATTAAAATCCACCCTATCTCTTAAATCATGTTTTAATATCTATAACAAAATGAGTGCAGTAACACTCTGTGCCTAAGGAATAATACTACTTCTTAGAAATAAAACTTACCACTTCAACAAAATAATGAAATCTACAATTATTGTACCTGGGGAGAACTTAAGGACATAAATTAGTAAAAGGTCAAAAAATAAAACAGATGCTTACTGTCGTGTCATTTTATTGTTTAATGAACTTCTAAACCGTATTAAAGTTGAAACGGTAGCAATTTTTCCCTCAGTTAAAAAATGCTCCCAAATGTGAAGTGAATTACTACAAAAAGTAAAGCTGAACAGTTGCTTTGCTGTAAAATTCTTGTAATTAATTGAATATAAAAAGCTATAATATAATAAAAACAAATGCAAAAAATACTAATAATATAAATTGTACATACTACACAAATATAAGATTGTACTTTTTATACATATAATACAATAACTTCTTAAAACATCTGTAATTTGAAATAATGTTTTTATTTGTAATATCCTGGGGGGGGGGGGAGAGAGAAATGCATTAACAATAAAAATTCAAAAAACAAAAAGCAACAACATTTTAACTCAAACTTGCTCACGATATATCTCACCTCTAAATTCAACGATTTAAGTCCATATGAACATCGCAACTATTATTAAGGATCACTTCTCATCATGTGTATGTGTGTAAATTTTTCTTTTAGACAATTGCCTGTTCAATAAATTTAAAAAATTCCCAATGGAACTTTTGTACTTCAAAAATATTCAGTGTACTTGCAAAAAACATCTTTGAAAACCGCCAAGCCATAGCCATACCCTACAGACTCACTTCCCTCCTGTTTACAGATCACGAAGGGAGGTATTTCTAAAATATGTTATTGAATCAACAAACTGAATACAGATTCCAAAACAAAATAGCTAATAATAAATAATCTTTTACTAGTGTATTACATCTAGACAATTTACAAAAGAATTTCCTCTCAATGACTAGAGCGTGTGTGTGTAGGAAACATTTTCAGATGCACACCTACAATCGCATATGCTATACCAGGCATTAAAAGACAGACTAGGTAAGCAACTATTTATTCCAAAATGTCTAACTCAGGAAATCTGTAAAATATGAAAGGCTCATGAAAAATCTGTGTGATGCCCATTCCCTGAAACTTGTTCTTTAGCAAGGTTTCAATATGTAATTGATATCCAAATGTTGAGATTACTTTTCTCCTTAAGCAGATCTATCAAAAACTCTCTCAATTCAAACACTGTTTTTCTAACACTGTTTTTCTAACACTGTTTTTCTTTTCCATTGAGGGTGAAAAGGATGTTAAAGAACAAAATACTAAAAGAAATATTTAGTTAGAGTTGTAGTAAGATGAAAGTTTTGGACATGAGTGAAAACTGGAACAAGCATAATAAATAAATAAAAAAAGTTAAAAAAACGAAAAACCTGAACTAGTTAGACTCTTTAAAGTACCATTTCCATTGAATTATTGTTGATTTGAGCTAATATAGCTAAAAAATTAAGATACTTATTAGTAGTACCTTATATTACGTATCCATACTTCCTTATCTTTGGGTTTATGAACTTTGAGTTCAAACATTTCAGGTTCTGCAGGATTTGAGGATATGAGATAAATTCCTCGAGAATCCTGACCAGCCTTTTCCCGGACCAATAGTTTCTGTAGTGAAACAACGCCAGCCTACGAAAAAAAAAGGGGGGGGAAAAAGAAAAATGGTTGAAAGTGAGCAAAAATTCACAAAAGCACAGACTGCCAAACAAGTACCTTGTTGTCTGGTGTGAAAAATGAATATTTGTTATTGTTCTCAAGAAGAAAGAACAGTACATCAGATAGTACTATAACAAGCACCACTTGCATTTTACTGCGTCCTTGCATTAACATGGCAACACCCTCAAACCTAAACAAGAATTAAATTAAACATTTAAATGACAATATAACTCCAAGGGTTCTGTGATAAGTATGAAAAATAAACATTATACACAGAAAAGAATGTTAAATAAAAAGAAAGACAGATTGTAGACTCAATATCAGAGAGGATGGCATAGGTATAAAAGTGAATATTACTTGATTCAAAAACCATGTTTTGCGATAAATCAAGTTGAAGATTTTGTTAAATTTGACTACTCCAATATATTTTGCTGGATAGAAGTGCTGGGCTATTGTTTTAACACACTCTTTATATGTAATAATGTTTTTTTAAAACAAAAAATCTGGTTCAAAGATGCTTTTTTCCTCAACATTCACTTTTCTCCGTCTTACTTAAAAAAGGAAATAATCAATAATTTGGTACATCCAAATTTCATAACTTTAATGATATTACTAATCAAAATAATAGAAAAAAATGTGACCTAGCAATGCAAATAATCCCCCACAATACAAGAAATTGACTTGGTTAGTTTCACTTTTATACCAATGATAAGAAGAATTTGTTAAGTTTTCATGCATTCGTTCACTTGCTTCATAAGAAATTGCACCTTAGCTTTCTGTTTTTAAGTAGAATATCAGCTTTCTTGAATTTTGTATCTCGATGGGTAGTAAATGATTTGGCATCAATTCTATTGTAAATTTCTAGTTTTCTATCTTCTTTCTCTTTCTCTGCAACTTGTGCATCAACCTCCACTAGAATTGCCTGTGAAGGAAAAAAAAGCAAAACAGTTTGATGATCAAGTGTGTCCATGGATTATTTAAAGGAAATCTTAATATTATAAACAATTTCAATGTTTCCTGGTATCAAAACAACATGAACTGAATGGACCTCACTCAATTTTGTCCCCCGAATGAGAACTATTGAACTTCCATTCTTCCCCAAGTATATTAAGCAATAGCACATGAAATAACACTTTAAATTCTTGCATTGTTATCATGAAAATATGATTCAGTACTAGTGACAGTTCTACAACAGCACATACTTTCTTGTTTTAATTATGGTTATAATTAATAACCTACTTATTATTAACATATATTGCTAATATTACAATATTGCAACTCATATCCTACTAATACATCTTGAAAAACTTGTCAAAAAACAGACTAACTGGGAGATGGTTTTGAAAAAACATAGTGTGTTTTCAGAGTATTTTAACAAAAATATGGGCATCTCTGTTTGTTGCATTTTAATACTGCACTACAATAAGTAGTCAAAAGTGTAAAAAGAGATATGGTGTCAGAAAGCCTATCAAATTAATAACTGTAAAGAATTCTATAGATCTTTATATCAATATCCATGGATAATGATAAAAAAGTAGTGCAATACAAATTTCAGAATTGTTTGTTTTCCTATTAGCAGTAATTTGCAATTAAAAACAAACTTATGTATAAGAGAAAAATAGAACAAACACATACCTTTACCAAAGCTAGTGCTTTCTTTAATTTATCGTGTTCTTCTTTGTTATCTTTGGCAGTCTTAATAAGAGGTTCAATAAGTAAGGGATATTTTGTAAGTCTTTGGGTTACAAACAGAATACATTCAGGAATTCCTTTCTTTTTAAGCAAAGGATTTGCTTGACAATGACGGACAAATTCACCAAATCTTCTATCATGAAGATAATTTTTGTACATATTTACAGCATCCCTGTGCCTACTACAAAATTCTCCATAAGCCGATTTTAATTTGTGAGCATTAGCTCCTGAAAATTGTTCAATCAAAACATCACATATTGTTGCCACAATAGGAGCCGTTTTTTGTCGTTGACGCAGCTTGAATAAGAAACTTAAATGAATTTCTGTGAGATCAGTTAAACGAGGAAACATTCTATCAAGATCTTTACCCAAACTAAAATGTTTTTGTAGGCCATCAACAAATACCTGTAACATAGATAAAAAATTACATTTTCCATAAATTCACAGTAATAAAAAGTTATACTATGGATAACACTATAAATTTCAAGCAATAAGCTTAGAATTAAGAAATGAAAATTAAAGAATATAAATAACACAATAATTTGTTCAGAAAATAATAACAATTGAGAAACTAAATCTGACATTCTTAACTTATTCATGCAGTGAAACCTGCTGAAACAGCTACCTCGATTAAGTGGTCACCTCTACAAACAGCTATTTGTTCTTTGAACCATTTGCTTTTCCCATAAAGTAATAATGTTCCCTCTTTTAAGCAGTAGTCTAGTCACTTGACTCTATGGCTAGCTGCCAGCCACATTCCGAAAATTAACCTGCATTACTCACAACTTCCGGATGCATAAGTGGTTTTAAACTTTAACTGTGGGAAGTGGAATAGCAGAAAACTTTACTATTGATTCAGTAACTTCCTGCATCAAGATGCATTGTCGGATTACTTAAAATGTAAAATCTAGCTTTGGTTATCATGTGCGGAATAAATTTGTTTCAGATAAGAATAGATAATCTTCAAATGGAAAGAAACAGAGGTCTGAAAAGTGTTCAAAAACAGTGATAAAATGATTTTGCATGATCTACTGAAGTGCACACATGCAAAAAATACATTCAGTATTTAGTAGTTTAATTGTAAAAAAAAAAAAAAAAAAGGAAAGGGTGTGAACTTCATTGAAAAATTCCAAATTAGGTTTGATGTCCCTTTTCCATATTCTTAAAACCTACATTTAGCGGCCACCTGTATTTATGGCCAACTTTTGTTGGTACCAATGGTGAATGCTTAAGACAAGTTTCATTGTATATCACTTCTTGAGCTGCATTTCACACCGAATTTAAGTGAGATGAAGTTTAAAGACTCCACTACTGCGATATTACAATGTAACTTATAGGAGTATTGCATTCACATTGTGATAAGCCAAAAAGACCCCATTAAGTGAATTTGAATGCCACGCCCAAGTGGGAGGAGTAATTAAAATAATAATGAAATATTAATAACATGTAATTATTACATTACTAAATGTTATTTGATATAGATTAAATTATTCTTTAAATCATTTTATCATTGGTTTATATCAGCGGTTTATCATTGAAAAGTCCAAAGTCCTATTCAGAAATTTACTTCACAATAAGTGACTATTAAAGTTTCTACATTTATATTTTCAAATTTTTGAATAACTGTTACTTACTTTCTGCATGACTCGAAGAGTAAGGCAGTGATGCTTTTCAGTCAATATAAATTCATAAATATGTTCCTGGCGCTTAATTTCTTTTTCTTTAAGTTTTTTGGTAATCTAAGAGAGGAATCAAACAATGTTAATGTATATAAGGTTTAGCATCATAATATAAGTAGTCATCTTTACACAATAATCACACCTCTTTTCCAACTGTGGGTGTCCAAGAATCAGGTTCTTCTTCATGGAGTCCAAGGAAAGGATCAGTATCCAAATCATCTGCAGTTACTTGACCTTCACATGCCACGAATACATTAATGCAATGATTCTTAGACAACTGACAAAGCTGTTAAATTTCTAAATTTATTTACATACCTTCATCTAAAAATTCCAGAGGGACAATAGGCACTTCATCTGAAAAACTTTACACAAAAGAAGATGTGTAATTAATAAGAAAGTGTTATAACTTACAATCAGAATTGATATATAATTTAACATACTTAACTCCTTCATGATGTCCCCCATCAGCTTCCTTCTCTTCACTGATGATCTGACTGCAAATAAAGACAATATGCCATTAGATTCATTACATTTTATTACTGATTAATTATCAGACCCAGAAAAAGAACATAAAACATAACAAACATGAACAGGAACATAAATTGTTTTATGTTACTTTTATTTATTAATAATATATTTCTTCTTTAACACAGAATTTTGTTTAATATTAGAAGAGAAAAGAGAAAATACTCCTAAGTGTTTGGTCAGTTACTTTTCCTTTTTTGAACCAAGGGAATAATAACTAGATCAACAAAAAAAAGCATGCACAACCATAAACATTTGGACTACCTTGTGTCAAATTACTTTGGTGTAATATTAGATATCCAACACAGGAGAATCATACAAAAGTTAAATTTCACATTAAATCACTGATGAATATGTATTATAATTTACTATCACAAACATAATCAAATTATTAACATTAACTTTCACAGTTGGGAAATAAAGCACACTTCAGCAAATTTACTCCTTTGGTGTTTTTATTCATTATCATTCATTTTTCAGTCCCTGAAAAATTGCATGCAAATTTCAGAATTCTTTCCAAATAGCAGACACACAAAGTACTTGTGTATGCAAAGAAACTGAGAAGAAAAATAACAAATACTCTACTTTTACCTCAATACATTAAATCAAAACTTATATAAATATATTTTAAAAGAAATAAAAAGGAAATTTAATTGTTATCAAATGTGTATATTTTAATGACAAAGAAAAAGACTGAAGGCCAAAACAAATATATGGATCGAAATTACCAAATAAATTTTTTCATGTTAGGCAAGCAACATTTTCAAACCAATTATAACCTTAATAATTATAACTGTATGTTTTTCAATTTTATTCCAGTCATTTCACTGAGGCAAACTTTTGTGGTAGGAGAAATGAAACATAATTAATGTAATTACAATTTCAAAAGAAATTTTAATAGCTATTATTTTCAATGAAAACCAATTGATCCAATTTTTTACAACTGTGTGTATTTTATGTATCATTTAGGTATGTTCACTTTTCTTCATGTGTAAATGTCAGAAACTAGTCACATGAAATAATTATTTTTCTCCTCAAGTACACATTCAATTGCATTCTTCCAAACACATACATGCATGCATGTGCATGCGCATGGACACGCATTTGTGCACATGCATGCACACACACTTTTACACATTCACCAATATCTGCTAAATTAGTTCTTCCATATGTAATTATCAAATCACTATTATAATCATTGGTTAGTAGGACACTATTACTTCATAACCGCTCTGGAATGAAAGCTACATGAATACAACTAACGTGATGTGATATAATACTCTTGCTGTTTAATATTAAAAACCTCAAAATTATTAATATGTGGTTAAACTGGAGCAGTATCAGCAATCACATTAGAAGCAGCAGCAGCAGCAGCAGCAGCAGCACTGATAATCAGAGACAATAACTGGCAACAGCAGAAGCAGTGGTTCAGCAGCAACAAAAACTTGCAGCATCAATGGTTCTACTAAGAATAGGAATATGTTTATTAAAGCAGTGCAATTAACATTGAAATAAAGGCTCCAAAGAGGTAAAACTTTGGTGTTAATGATGACAATCAGTGTTGCCTCAGAGTATTCCTGTATTGTGTATCTGACAATAGTGTAGACAACTACTACTGGTGGTAAGGGAGATGGTGAAAGAGTTAACTGTGATTGCAGCAGTGACAGTGACAACAGCAATAGCAGCAGAAGCATCTGCATGGGGCAGTAACAGCAGAATCAGCAGCAGCACCAATATAAGCAGCACCATAATTTAAGCAGCAATCATTAATACATCACAAGTGACACTGCAGCAAATTCCACAAGATTCATGCAATACCCACTTGCATCCAACAGTGTATACTTGTATACAAATAGGCAATTATATAGTTGACATAAAACAATATTCATTGCAATAAACCATGTCATACTAAAAGTTAAAAATTCATTGACATTTTCAGAGCATTACAGTTAGTGGTTTGTTTTACTTAAAAGTCATTACAAAACATTACAATAAAAAATATGAAATGTCAACTACTTATCTTGTAATGTATAACATCAATTTTCATAATAGTAATTACAAAAGAAAAATAATGGAGAGTCACATGAAAACTATAATACACAATAGTAAAGAAATTCAAATCTTGACCCACTCAAGAATATTTCACTCCAAACTTTGTTAACTAAAGCAAAATAAAACCATTAGAAAAAAATTAGCAACCCATCTTGGATTTATTTAACTTCTGATTTAATTGCCACAATTTTCCAAGCATCAGACTAATGAGTTTTTATTTAGAATTCAAATTTACAAAGGACCATTAGATATTCTTCTATAATATTCTAAATATAATTCAAGAACTTTAATTACTGATTTGAAAAAATGAAAAGAAATGCCAAACATTTCAATGACACCACTGCCAGATGGTGGTAATTAATACAAAATTACTATTGTTGATATTTTCCATTTTTTAAATTTAGTTTCTACCATGTTTTATACTTGCAACATCGTTGTGACACCTCTACGTTCTATAATCTAGAAGTTGCTCTACCTCAAAGATTTAGTTGTAAAATAGAATTGATAAAATTAGAATTTTAGTGCCTGAAAGCTAGGAAGAGGTAAGGGAAGCAAAAACCTATGCCAAAACAAGTAAAAATTATTAAGATTGAGTCTTTTCCAACATGAGAGATTTTTTCTTCAGAAACAGAAAATGCATTGAAATTAAAATATTTAGTAACAATCAACCTCTGGCATTTTAGCCAGTACAATGCATAATACTGCTAAAGTGGCTCTGCAGCCATGTGTTTAGTTCTGATTTATACAACAATAAAAAACAATATTTTTAATTATCTATCAAGGGCCTCTTTCCATTTATTCCATTTTTAAATATAAATTTCTATCTGTAGGTTCATTTTGATTCAAATGTAATTTTTAATGCCATTTGTTTTTCCTTTGGGACTTCCAAAGCATTATGTTTTATGTGTTTTGTGTGTCTCTCTAAGTACTCTGGCTAATTTGAACATTGATATTATACTTTGATTATCTGGGCTGCAAAATTAAGATTAAAATATCCATGGGTCAACAAAAATTGAATTTGTTATGAATAATATGCATACAATTATATTAATGGCTTGTGGCTAGCTCTTGGTCAGCGTGCTCACTTTCCACTACGCGGCCCCAGATTTGATTCCTGGTCGAGCCAAGACTATAGTGTGCATTTTCCTTGCAATGTCCCAGAATATGTTGCTGTGTGACGGTGAGAAAATTCACTTCTCATGTTGAGAAGATCGGAATATGGCATTGGGATGTCTACGTGCTATCCACACATACCCCTTTAACCCATGGCAGGCACATCGCTGGTAGGTCTCAGCCCGTTCACAGGCTGTTGTGTCAAGTACATACATACATACAATTATACTGATATAATATCTTACATGAAAAAAGGTTATGTTTTCAGGTTTAAATTAAAGCTATTATTATCTTTTAAATATATTGGTTTGCTATCATTTTAATCTTTATAATATTTCTTTGAATAAATTGATTATACCTTACATGATTAGATTTGGTACCTAACAACCAAAGTGGCAATGCTTGTTCAGAAACTGCTAAATCAAAATAAAGAGCAAAATTACTTGGAAGTATTTCGTTCAATCCATAGCCTCATCACTTGTCATTAGAGCTGAAAACAGTGACAAGTTTATTGTTTTGCAAATATTTTCCTCAATTTTGATGATCCAAAGTGTAGCGGATGTTATTTTGTGGATTTGAAAAGTGAATGTGCCTATCAGTTTGCATTGATAATAAAGCACTTTTCTTCCACAGACTAGTCTGGCAAGGTTATTGAAGGGACATTACTCTTCATTTACGCTATGAAAAATTAAATAATACTGTTTGAGAGAGGAAAAATATGTGTCAATGATGAACTGGTAAAACTCATTTCTGTGTTCACTCCTGAAAATATTTATTACTTTGCAAAATACGATTTTCACAAATAAACAAATAGAGTTAAAACATTCACCAGAAGCTCTGAATATCTAGAAACATGACGTTTCTACTATAAATTATGATGAGAATATGAGAAATATAACAGCTAAAGGAATTGGTCTGAATGCTGATCAGAAATGACACCCAGGAAACCAACTTCAAGATTTGTCATCATTTTCATGATAATTCTTTCAACTCTTTGAATGGTATTGTGACTATTAATGAAACATGAATCAGGAATTATTATGATCCAGAAACAAAAGAACAATTACAGATATTAATTGTTCATTTGTTTTGGCTTAAGGTCCATGATTGCAAACACTGTTGGTATCCAACTCTACAGAGATTTGTCCCAGTTTCTACAGCAGTGAGCCATAAAGAGAAATGTTTTCAGTCACAGTCATAAGGATTGACACATTTTTAAAAAATTTAATTTCTTTCCTTTCCCTAACACAGAATAGACCCTGAGAGCATAGAATGGAAAGTGAGCATGCCATTAGCCAGCCAGCGAACCTTTTTAGATGAGAGGTTCCCAGTTGTTTCCAGTCCACTTGGTTCTCCCAAGTTCATTTCAATTGCTCAGAGCTTGAAGTAAGGTTATTGGGGTTCTCCTAACAAAAAACTCTATACATCTGACAATAGTATACCTTTTCATTACTAAAAATGCATTTTTATTGAAATTTAATGCGCAAAATTTACAAAACTGGAATTAATTTTTAAAAATTAATTTTAGATTGATCCTATTCAAAAACAAAGTATAAAGTCCTTTTTAAAACCTATTATTACTTTCATTATATATTTTCTAATTAGTTTTGAAATATAAAGTTTTAAAAATAAATTAATTAAAAAATATAAAACTTGTTGTGAGTACTGTGTAAATAAGTACAGAAATAAAGAGGTATTTTTTCAATATTCCTGCTTATCACTGATAAGAAGTAACTGAGAAAACAAACTCACAGAATAGCAACATAAATTACAAATTTTAACAAGCATTGTAAAAGATACAATG